CTGAGGCTGAGGCAGGAGGATTGCTTGAGCCCAGGAGTTTGAGGTTGCAGTGAGCTATGATGACACTACTGCACTCTAGGCAGGGCAACAGAGTTATACTCTATTTAAAAAAAAAATAAAAAGCTTTTTATCAATATCTGTGCTCTTTCTTCTCAACCCTTTAGCAGTATATTTATGCCTCTCTAAAGGCATGATGTTCCCTTTAAAGTCATAATTTTTCTTATTATGACTTATGCTATATGATTGCTGTAAGTGCAACCATCTTATTCCCACATAAGACTGGATTATACTTGAGGACAGCTGTATATTAATTTGTGCAACACTTACAGATTCAAAGGTAGTGCCTACACATGTTAAGTGTCTAAAGAATTGTTTAATCAGTCTGTTACACAAATTTCTGGAGCCATTCAACAAATATTGAGTTCCTTCTGTATGTGATACATTGTGTTAGGTACTGAGGACTAAAATATGAGTTTCATTCTAATTGTCACATTATCTCATTTTCCTCCAGAGACTATGGGTATTCAGAGAAGGCAGATGAACTTTTTCACAGTTAAACTATGAAAGCTACATGTCCTGTTTATCTAGTACAGGGAAATAATAATTGCTCCTCCTTCAGAAGATACTCTTCTCTAGTGCATGCACACCGAAGCTGGAGTTGCCAAGCATAAGCAAGACTTGCCTAAGTCTAAGGCTAACACAATTAGAATTTTACATATGGGCAGAGATTAAGAAATATATCCTAATTCTTAACTACAATCTAGCATTCTGCCTCTAATAAATTTCTTTAAATCTAAAAACACCAGTAAATAAGTGGATATATCCGACCTATCAAGAAAAATTTTTAAAAACAACAGCTAACTTTCCTGCTGGGAGACTCTGCGTTAATTATTTGATACTCGACTATTTTTCATTTCAGAACTTAAGTCTAATAAATGATGTATTAAATAAATGATTCCTTGATTATGATAAGGAACTGTATTAATGCTATAGTACACAAAATTACCATAATGTTTTGGCTACTTGCTGAAAATAAAAAAGGTCAAGTTTATGAATACTAGCCAAAAGCTGACAATTCCATCTCCAAAACACAGTAAGCAAAATTAAGAAATACTTAGGTTAATATAGCCATAAACATACCTTCATTTTAGACAGGAATCTGTCCAGTAAATTCACAGCTAGAGAAAATGTCTCCGTGTCGAAGCCAAAGAACTGAGTTAGACTAAGAAGATCTTTTACTTCAAAGTCCCTTAGTCTGGCAGTCATTCTGAGGCCATTATCGTGGGCAGACTCAATTAGTCTCAAGCCGCAGACCTTTGGCTGACATCTAGACTCCTGTTCCAACAGGGCATTCAGCTGGTGTAGCAGATTCTGAGAGTCAGTTGTTGTCAGTACCTCTATCATCTATATATAGAACAAAGCCCAGAAAGGAGTGTAAGAGTAGTCCTTCCTACTTTCCTTGGCCATCTTTTATTGGGTCAAGAAGTGCTTTATAATACAAGTCTCCCTTCCTCCAGGGTGGCTAGTGAATCTCAGTCATTGCAAAGTGCTGTTATTTCTTTCCCTTCTACAAGTTGGTCACATCTTAAATTGTGAGTACCTGGAGAATAGTAACCAAGTCTTTAAAAAAATGCAAATCTTCAAGAAATACTTAAGTTATTCACTGTTAATAAGTAACCACGAATAGACAGTGTAAGACAGGATACCAAAACTTTGCAATCAGATGGTAGTATGTATTCTGCCATATATTAACAATGTGAACTGTTGAGGTCACTTAATTTTACTTAGTTCTTCATCTTTAAAGAGGGGATAAGGTTATTACCTACCTCGTAGATTTGTGTGGGTTAAATGAAATCACACAAAGAACTTAGCACATATAGTAGGTACTTAGTAAACATTAACAATAATAATGAGCTTATTTCTACATTTGTAAAATCTTCTCTTTAAATGGCTGTGAAGATTAAACAAGATTTAAGGAGTAGCACAGCGCCTGGCACACAGTGCTCAATAATAGTTAACTTTTATTGGTGTTAGAAAAGGAAACTTAAAGGATGCCCTGGACCACGTAGTGGGGCGGCGCGGGGGGTGCTAACCTAGTCTGCAAGATAAACCTGGGAATTTCATTAATTTAAGTGTGCACAGAACATCTATGTGCCGGACACAAGCTAAGCACTGGGTACACGGACGGTCCCTCTCCACACCAATTTAAAGACAAGAAGGCAGGGAGCTTCAGAGCCGGCCATGTGAGGAACCACTAACTTCAGGGGTCTAATTCTTTCGCCCCTGCCTAGTCCCTGGGACTGGGCGGGCCACACTCTAAGACACCTCAGGAGGACGGATTCGGCTCCGCCCCTCCAGGCTCAGACTAGCCTGGGCTTGTGCTCACAGCAGCGGGAGAGTTAATCGAGAAAAAGGGCGTGGGCCAGACCTACCCCTCACCCCGCGCCCCCAGCCCTGCTCCCCACCCGCACCCGGACATCAACCCCGCAGTCCCAGCTCACCTTGATAGCGACTGCGGCTCCTCAGCGGTAAGCACCCTCCCCGGGCCTACTCTTACCTCACCCCACGATATCAGAACCGAGAGGCCTACGAGGTGAGGTGACTCGCAGGCAAGAGGAGAGAGGCCCGGGGAGGGGGAGCCGTCCTGGGTGGAGATCTCCGCAGCACCGCGGAGACCACCCTGGCTTCCTCAGGGTCAGTTCGGAGCCGAAGGGACCGCGCCTGGCCTCCTGAGTAATATATTGAGGGCGGGGCTTTCCGCGCAGGGGGGGCATTTTCGCCGCTGATTGGTGTAGTTCCTTTGATGGACGGTGTCTGCGGTCCATAAAGGGCTGGTCCGTAGGTAAAAAAAAAGCCTGGCCAATCAGCTCACACTTCCTATTATCTGAAGTCAAATTCTCCGCCCCCTCGAGATCACGCCGCTATCTCTAAGCGTCTCTCATTGGAGAATTTCCCAAAGAGTCTTCATTCAACAGGGGGCAGAACTAAATACTTTACGCACCAACCCCAGCCAGGGTCAGGTCAATTTGCTGCCAGCCAGATTGGCCGGGCTATCATTCCAGAATGTACTGGGAGTTTTTGTTCCGTGCGGTTTAGTAGTCGTACAGTGGTTCTGCCTCCTCTTTCTAAAAATACAGTGACTAGTTAAAAAAAAAAGAGTCAAGCTTTGATTTTTCATTACAGATAACGAGGTGGTGGATTTTCTATGGTGTGGTTTATTAAATTCCAGAGTGCTCTCTTGTGAGCTTTAGAAATCAGTTCATCCTTGCCTTATTTTGTTTTTGTATTGTTTATCAAATAATGGAGTTGGGCTATGTAATATCTTGGTCCTGTACTGATTTTCTGAATTTGCCTTTTTAAGCAAATTTAAAGAGAAAAGTTGGTACGGTTTTCAATGGCTTAAAATGAAAGGTGTGTAGCAGACTGTTAAGAAAAATACATAGGGGAAAATAATTGTAGTAAGTATGGACTTCAGACTACAGACCCGGAAGCAATATTACTATTTTTATTAACTGTGATGAACTTAAATTAATCTCTATGAGTCTGTCCTATGACAGATTAGTGGGAAAATAATTAGCCTGAGCTCTTCTTACACTCCCTCTCTCTCTCTCCCAGATTGTCACAAGTACGAAGGATTTATTAGTAAAAAGGCCTGAGAAAGAGTGCACAAGAAGTCAGTTCTCAGCTCTTATGAATTACACAGTAGTTGGATGTATCTGTTCTCACGACCTCTTCCTTTTCAGTGTCTCTGGGATTTGAAAAAGTGTAAATCTGAAAAGTTTGCTGACACTTCTGCTGTTTGCCCTGCCATGTACTTACCTGAGGCAATGTCATAGAACAAAGCCTTGGAATGGGGGCAAAGAGGTGGAGAAAAACAGGAAGGAAAAACAAGGTAGGAATCGTTCATACTTTAAAATAATACCTCTGCCACATAATCAGGTCAGTTTGAGAAACTGGGGCTCAAATGGGGAAGGGGCCTTAGTCCCTCTTGAAAATAAACTTACCTAATGAATATAACTTGGCAATTTATAACATTTAAAATGTAATTCTATTTCATCAAATAAATAATCATTTTTTAATACAAGAGGGTGGGGGTGTCAAGCGAGTTACATAAAATTGTGAATTAGTCCCTGCTCCAAATAATGCCTGCTTGGGCCAGAGGGCAGCAGAGCTGTGCTCT